GCTCCCCTTGCTATCTCGTATAAAGCCGTTTTTGCCCACCGATCGATCCGGTGGACGCGAATCGATAGGATCTAAAACCACGCTAAGTGACGAAAGTGTACAGAGTTAAAGACGCGCGCGCGTGTGTGTACCGACAAAACTACATATTCGATTTGGCAGCTACATCGTTTATCGTTTGTTTTCCGTATTTTTTTTTCTTTTTTTTTTTCTCTTTTACGCTCTTTCTCTCATTCGCTCCCGCGCACTCTATTGCTTGCCTCTCGAACACAGAATCGAGACTCGTCGCGACGCGGCCATGCAGATACACAGAGGTAATCGTAATGCGAGGTTACTTAATTCTGTGTGTGTGTGTGTGTGTGTGTGTGTTTCGGTGCTCTCCCATTCTCGTGCCATTTCGATAATCGAAAGTTTACCGCGCTCATTCGCGTCGATCGATCCTTCGAAAAGGCTCGACAGACCACGTGCCGCCTCCGAACGATCGAGGAAACGATCACGATCGTTCGACTCTGTCCACGCGCACGAAAAAGGATGATTGGGAGAAGGCTACATAAATGAACGGCAGAGGCCATACTTTTCATATATGTGGGTATATAGTATCTGCATGTACCAAAAAACAACAGTTACAACTTATAACAATCCTTTTATTCCTTTTTTTATATTATTATTATTATTATTATTATTTTGTTTATTTTATTCATTCATTTTATTCCTTATCCCTCTGTTTAATCACTTTTAATTATTTCATTCATTTTTTGTTAGTGTTTTAAAGTGGCACTACGATTACGAAAAAACCTGTAAACGGGTTTCTCAACGATTGGAAACGTCCCTCGGGACAGTGGAAGTCGACGTGTTCTAGCGGATTAAATTCGTCAAAGCGTGCGTAAACACACTCCGTACCGCTGGAATTGTTCGAGAATAACAAAAGAATGAAGAAATATTGTCCAACAAAATTTTGTCGGCTCGAGGAGTAAAGCGACGTTTATAGCAACGAAAGACGGACGCGCGTTTTTACGTTTCATTCTCTCTATTTGTCACGCACTCGCCACACCCGATCACGCATTCGCACGCGCGTGCACTCGATCTCTCCTTTATTCTCTCTTTCATCCCCGCGTTTGCCGAGCGATTCATCGAGGCGCGAGTAAAACCGAGGACAGAACGAGGTACGCGAAACGCCGTTCAAACGAAACAGCACCCTTGTGTCTTTCTCGCCCGAAAAAAGGAAACGAACCGAAGAACCGTTCTCGTTCTATCGAGCGCCGAGTTCTCTACGGAGCGTAGTTTATATTTTTTTTATGTATATATTTATATATTTATATATTTATATATTTAATATCGTTATGTATAAAGTGTGTTCTCTTATTCGCACGACGTTTTTATCGCTACGTACGTTATCGAATAGTTTTCGTCGTGTTCTCGTCTCGCAGTGTCAAATATACTTACAATAGAAATATATTAAAATTGCAAAGTTTCTTTTATGTATGTATCGATATCACTTATCGTAGCGTATCCGCTAACATAAATCCTGAACGAGAATCCTGTGCACTCCTGTATAGAATACCGTACAGCGCGTCGAGTGGCTACGTCTCTGTACTGTGTGTAATCGCGCGTGCGTGCGTGCTTGCGTGTGTGTGTGTATCAACGCGCGCAGCGTGTCACGGTTGTTCATCGAGTATTTGTACACGCGGTTACAGAAATCCGTGTCAAGTTAGGGGAATATTGCCAGTTTTACGCTATCCCCTCTCCTTCTCATTCTATGTCACGGTTTCATACACTGTGGGCACTCCACCGATGCACAACGCATGCGCACTATCATTTCGCCACTGACCTTACGACGAAACGGACCTCTACACAGACAGAGACGGTCAGCATTTTATTCGAACGATAAAATTGGGCAAATTTTGTTCACAAATAACAAGCAACGCAATTTTCAAATCATCGATGAACTAACTTGCTTAAAATCATTCGTAAATTACGGTCCATTGATGGATTTTTAAACCGAGCCCGCGAAACCTATTTTACGAATGAATCAAACATTTTTATTCGTTATTCCTGAATAAAATTTACCAACACTTGTAATAGCGATTTATTCTCAACGTTCAATTAGATCGAAGAGCTATTCGGATAATTTGATAGTATAATTTAGATTATAATTTGTATTGAACACGCCAAAATTTATTTATTTTTTACTTGCTACTCGAAAATTGTATATAGATGAGAATTTCTTTGCCTCCATGAAACGGAGACGGGACTAATCGATACTAAATCGATCTTTCCGAGGAGATTTTCGATTTCTTAACCTGTCCATCGCAGAAGAGGTAGCTTTACCCCATTTTTTCGCGCTCAATTCTGACACGAATCTTTTCTTTATTAAAAAGAGAATTACTAAAAGGTACATGAGATTATTTACTCCTCTTTAAGCACCATTGCTAGTATGTGTCTGACAATTGTCCGCCTCGAGAAAATTCTAATTTTCGAAAGCAGGCAAGATTCACTATTTTAAAAGTTATCATCACTGAATATAATGACTAATAAACTGTGATTGCTTCATCACTTAACTTTTGGTTACTTTGTTTCTTCGTAATTTAACTATAAATGTGATTATCTAATCTAAAGATTTTAAAGTATATAGTTAGGAACTAGAAAAACGATTTTTCGAATCAAGTTTGATGGATCGCATGAATTACTATACAATAACTACACGACGTTTAACCCTTTTGGAACTAAGAATTAGACGTAAAGTTCAAATACTGATCATTTTCCTTTAAGAAATTTTAAACAGTTCGTAAATGCAATAAGAAGTATTAACTAACTTGTACATATATTTTAAAGTCACCCATTAAGAATGTTTCTGCAGTAATATCAAGAACAAACATGAATTTCTTTTCAGATACTCATCCAACATGTATATTTCTCTGTTCTCTGGTAATACTCTTTCCCTTTGTCCTATCATATGTTTTTAATAATTGTCATTCGCTAATCAAGCATCCTTGCGTTTTTCCTATAGGTAAGAAAAAATTTCAAACAAGAATGCTTAATATTTCCTATTCTACTGTATATACTTTTCAAGATACTATAATTATTATATTAGACGCGAACATTGAATACTGTCGAACGTAAAATAAAGCATTTATCGCGGGCATTGCTTAGAACAACGCTGAACGAAAGTTATGACTTTGAACTTTCTTCTTTCAAGAGATAATGATTATAATCAACATTTGGAATACAGCTAACACTGAGATCTGCTGGACTCTACAAAGGAATTAATGAAAAAAAAAACAAGCGTGATGCTCCAGGGATGAACTTTAACCCGTCGCCTTACAATTTTATATATAATCAGGCACTGGCCGAGCATTTAATCCATCTTCATCGATCCATGAAAATTCATTCCTTCAAAACGCATCAAATATTGAGCAACGATACAGAATATAGTTAATTTAAAGACAAGCGTCGTGTTTCGACACTCTTAATGTATAAAACACGAATCTGACTCAGTAATATAAGGCAAATATTTAAGCCCCTATAACCCTATGACTCTAAACTCACATATCTATATATATTTTCAAAGATTGCATTCCTTCACCAGTGTACGTTTATAACAAGCATTAGTTACAATCTTTTACATCAAGATGGATACAGCTAAAAGGTTGCTTTTATACAAATTTACCTTTTACCTTATGCCCTTATCGCAATGTATCAACGTCCTATTATACCATTTCTGTCAGAAGTCGAAAATAATTTATAGAGGGTTAAATATCGCGGAGATGTCGACAAAGCATTCATGTTACTCGTTATAAAGAAGCTAGTCCCGTCCAGTGGTTGGTCAAATTCTCACGTAGACAAATTTCGAGCAACGAATAGAAGATAAACAATATTGATCCGTCATTCGTTCGATAAAAATTACAATCCGAATTATACAATCGAACCATGTTTCACGTTGAAAAAGTAAAGTACTTATATTATAATATTCGTATAAAATTTTTCCCGTCTTTTGACCTCGTCTAACAGAAGTTTCGAACCACCCCGTCTCGCGGCCAGTGGCAGAATGATTCTGTCGCACAGCCACGGAGCGTCCGGGCATGCGCGATGGAGAGGAGGTAACTTCAAAGCGACCACGCTCGCCCGATTTGGCGCGCACTCCCATAACCGAGGGTACAGTACAGCATACGCATGTCGCACGACGAGAGTCGGGCAAAAATCCGTTCGGTTAGATCCGTAGAAAGAAAATTTGTTTTTCTAGTTCGTCACTGGGAGCTGTTTTTGGAAGAGAACGAGAAGCACGCGAAGGCAAAGATGCCCGACTCTGCCGACTAACGACCCTCGTAACGCGGACGCGCGATCCCTCGCGAATCATTATGAGAATTTACGTCGACGATCAACGATGGTTGTAATAGAGATTTCTCCTGTTCCTTCGGTATCCGGTTCGGTCGTATTTTCGTTCGTCATCGTCTGCCATTCAGATTCTTCTCCTAGGGGACGACGTTTCGGCAGTTTCTTTCGCTCGATCCTCGGCGACGTTCGGACCGAGGACTCGCGGGATTGCTTTCCTGTTTCCAAAGCGAAACGGCATCTAGAGACCAGTACGCGAGCAGAACGCACGATGGAATTCTCTCTTGTCCTCTTCGTCTCTCTCGTTTTGCTTTATTTGTTTTTTTTTTGCTTTTTTTTCTCTTTTTTGTTATTTTTAGATAGGGCAGTGTTGTGGACGGTTACGGACTCAACGTCCGTAATCCCAAAAACGTTTCCTACAAGTATACATACTATTTAATAAGTACATATTTCAACAACCGTCTTTAGAACTAAGTTTATAAGGTATCGTATGATTTTTTTTTCCTTTTATTATGACGCGTTCCTTTGTTTTATTATGAAAACATTTTGAAAAAAATCACGTTTCGCCGCTCGTCATCCGACATTCCCGGCATGTCCCATCCCCGGTTGTCCGTACGCCGTACGCCCCCACGTCATTTCCGCTATTCGAATCATCTCGAAGCCCCCTCCCCGCAGCTCGATACGTACTATATTTAATAATAATCATTAATAGGTGTATAATCTATCTATCTATCTATCTAACTATCTATCTAATAAAACAGCATCATATTAAAGTCTATCCTCCTCCTCCTCCTCGTTATCCTCGTTATTCTCCTCGGATTCCTCCTTGTAGCCCGGATGCTCGGAGATCGCGTAGTAGTTCCCGTTGTAAATGATCCCGAGCTCCCTCAACACGTCTCCCCTGATGATCGCCTTGATCGTCCAGTTGTAACACTCCTCGCTCTCGCTCTCGCGATCGAGCCGCTCCACGTCGAGGATCTTGGAGTTGAGCCGTTCGAGGATGATACCGATGTCCTTGATGCTTAGATGCTTCTGGTCTACGGTGAGCTGATCGATGAGCAGTAAAAACTTCTCCGAGGTGACGATCTCGTCCTCCATGATCGTGTTCTCGGTCTCCGACTCGGAGCTGTCGTGCTCCTGATGATGATTGTGATGATGCTGGAGGTGAAAGCCGGTGGCCGAGTTGCCGGCGAGCCGCGGGCTCGACTCCTCGTCGGCGGTGTCGCAGAAACGCACGTGTCCCTTGCTCAGGCCGGTCCGTCTCGTGCCATCCGACAACGAGGACGGCGGCTGAGGCGACGGTGTCTGCGTCTGCGTCTGCTGCTGCTGCTGCTGATGCTGGTGCGGATGATGGTGCTGTTGCTGCTGCTGTTGCTGGTACTGCTGGTGCTGGGCGTCCTGGATCGGCGAGGTGGCCACCGACTTGTGCACCGCGATTCTACGTCCCTCCTCGTGAAGGGCGCAGCAATGGAAATCGCATTCCCCGCTGGCGCCGCCGTCCGCCCCGTTCACAGGACTCCCGTTCCTCACCACCGGCTGATGGATGTGGTTCGAGCACTCGGGCGTGTGGATATGGATGGCCGTGCTGTCGAACGAGTTCGTGCTCTGCTTCACCAGTCGTCCCGAGATTCCGTGCGGCTGCTGCTGCGGCGGCTGCGGCTGCTGCTGCTGTCGTTACCACGACGACATTTTTAAACGATGGCTTTCGAGAGGCTACAACGCGAGATGCGAGACACCACCGAGGCTTCCGGGTGCGGGTCGTCTCTCCGCCCCTATAAGGCGTATTTTTTCGTCTAGATAGGACCGGAGACGTCGTCGGGCGCCATCGGAGCCGACTTGTACACCCGGAAACCTCGCGTTAATCAGTCAAATAGAATCGTATACGAGACGGATAAAGAGAGCCAGGATTATCGTACCATGTCGTCATGATTTATCACAGTGATTTGGGGGCTGGCGTAGCGGCTGGGACCGATCTCGGCCGCCAGGTGTCCCTGCTTCCCTCCGTAGTTGAGCTTGTCCAGGCTGGTCTGTATGACCAACGACGGCCGCTGCGTACCGCTCAGATCGGTTTTCTTTGTCGGTGAATACTTGGAGCTCTGCGCGTCCGGACCCTTCTGCTGTTGCTGCACCTGCGACGACGTGGACGAACGCTGATCCCAGTGCAGGACCACGGTGACTCGTCCCTTATTGTCCATGATTTTCCACGACGGCGTCTCATCGTGCAGCTCCAGGGCGTGGATCGTTTCGCAAACTATTTTCGGTATGGCTGAAATTGCTGCAAATCACAAACACGACGTCAGATCAAACGAAAATTGACACAATTGTTGTTAGGGGGACTTGTAGCGGTATTATACTGTGGGGTCCTGTTGATGAGAGATGGAAAAGAAAAGGAGAGCATCCTAGGAGACCCTACCTTACACGCCAGGATATTGGCTAGTCGGTCGAGAAACGCACATATACAAGCGGAAGGTCGAGCACTTGCGAGAGGAACGGCCCCTCTGGTGACAAGTACGGGAGACGATACCTTCGTAACGCTTATAGAAACGACATATTTACAAGAATCTTTTTAAGCAGAGGTGAACAACCGGAATTAGTTTCTTTAGTTATCATACTTACTGACAGTCTCTCATATCGAAACCAAAACTCGCTAGGTACGATTTCCTGAAACTTTCAGCCTAACAATCTCTCAAAATGATCGAAATTTACGAGCAACAGAGCATGCGTATCGATCTTTTTCTGACATCGTCGTTAGAATGCATCGGTCGACAGACACCCGCGACACTCTACGAACAAAATCGTTATCTGATAGCCCTCTTTAACGAATCTGCACTTTTGTCTTATTGTACTTAGGAATCGATACTGTCTTCTATTCATGGAGGACTGGTGTCCCGTGCCGACGCCTCTATTATCATCGCGAAAGTTCCTCCGACACGTGACACCCTGTCGACGTCGTAAATATTAGGCAGGCACGTGTTGAACGTCATTCTTTCATTCCTAAAGCGCGTCTTTCCTATTCTGACTCTTTGACTTAACAAAGAGAACGCAAGACCGCTTAAAACTTCTGAACACTCTCGAAATTTCAATAAAATCAAAAATTCGTCCAATTCGATACAACCCCCACAGCTTCTGCGTTAGTCAGCCCTGCGTGGCACGACAAATGGGCACGACGTAATTATTTTACATTGTTTATAGCTGACGTGTCAAACACACGGCTCGATTCACTAGACTTTGCAGCACACTTGACCTTTTTATTTGTTCTATATTTTATTGTGGGTAGATTTGTCATTCGCACGCTGCTACCGTGTCGATGGTTGGCAATATATATTTATGTACGCAGTTTCTTTTAACAATGAAAAGTGAACAATTATTTAGAAAGGGTCATTCTTTAACGGAAGATAATTCTATTACGAAGGTAATTTTCTTAAGAATCGGTGATCTTAGAAAACGCTGTTTCACCCTAGACTCATTACAAAACCGAACGTTTTGTTAAATATTTTGCATGTTTGTTCGATCGTGCCTGATTTGTAGAATCATGCGCTGCGCTGCCTCAGCGTGCGCTCAATATGCGCCTGGCCTTACGCGCGACATCTCCGACCTATAATTTCACGCTATACTTCACTTCCAAGGTACGACTCCCCCGTTTGCTATAAAAATACCACACGGCGGCCCAGAGAAAACTCATAGAGCCGCGTTATCCCTCGTAACAAAGTACAGCGTCGCGTTACACGTTCCCATCTGTTCGCTCTTTTTTGCGACTTGTTTACCCGCGATGAAGCGAACTGGTACAGTGTGATGCATAATTACGACACCACTCGAATTTTCAAGCGATTTGGACATCCGATCAAGTATGCAAAAAGAAAATCAATCGTACGGCTAATAATAAATCTCGGATTTCTGTCGATGTTGCAAATAGTGGCTACAAATATTTACAACACATTGGCGAAATCTTTTAAAAAGAACGATCGATTTGCTTTATCTCTCCCCTGAGTTATGGGTTACGTCTAAGTATACGTTGCTCGAATCGTTTCTCAAAATCTTTCAATTCGATATAATTGAAAATAGTTCAAATATGATTATTTGTAATAAATTGTGTTGGATTTTTGGTGTCGATGATTACGAGTTCTATATAAAAATAGCTGATCCGATATAGCGGACGTGATCGACACAAACGTTAAATTTTCAAACTCTTCTGTTGCAAAATGAATATGTATATAGTATATGCAGTACTAATTACAAAAATTAGAATGATTTATCTAATATGACGACCGTAGAAAGTGAAAACATCGAAATTACTACGCTGAGTACGATTTACCTGGCTCGTCTGACCAATATTCGCTATTTCTACTTAATCTGATATCCAAGTTGGACATGTTGCATTAGTATACAAGTAATATTGATGCACAAATACAAAATTAATTTTAGTCGCTGTGTGTATTAAAATACTAACTAAAACACAGTAATGGATTATCTACTAGCAGTGATTTTAATTAATATAAGACACAATAGCCTTTTCCCTTTACGTATCGCGTTATCTTTCATTTAATAAATGTTGTATCAAAAATCCAGTATCTTGGGACAAAACACCAAATAATAATTAAGTTAAAATAGTTAATACATAAGTAAGTTTACAGTTTACAGTTTAAATTATAAAAATTAATTTTATATTTAAAATTTCGTTGGCTTCAAACTGTAATTAGCACAACGAGATCGCGTTTGAACAGATTCACGGAGTTAAGATAAGCTAATATTTCTTCTGAGTCTCATCTAAGGCAAGGATTTCTAGATTACCCTTATCAAGGAATCCACCAGTATTCTTGGACGAGTGCCAAATTTTTGATCTAACACCTATTTAATTCAAGGTTATGCAATATCTAACGGAAACCACTGCTGCAAAGTCTTTTGCATTAATCAAAATCACTATTGAATAGGTCGTCATTGTGTTTTAGTTAATGTTGGTACATTACAGTACAATTTTTCTATACAATGATAATTTACATTATATTCTTCTTGTGTTATTCTCAGTATTTTGATCGAACTTTGCAAGTTTATAAATTGCCCCAAAATAAAGGAAACATGATTTAACTGCGATAACCTAAGTTTAAGGACTAAAACTGCACTCCCCAAATGCTATTTTCAATTTATTTTATAATTAAATTAAAGTTTAAATGTACCTTTTGCCTTTTAATAGAACCAATATTTTAAAACATACAGAAAAATGGCGAGATTGGTACTTTTACGAAATGTACCTCACATTTAAGATATCCAAGGAACTAATAGCAAGAAAAAAAATTCCTGATTCCTCTATGGTTATCTTTAACAAGAACTTACTCGCGACACAAGGTGTACCCAAACTTTCGAGCGGTAGCGTACATTTTCTTTATTCTAAAGAACTCTTTCACATTACCAGTGGAGGCCATATTTGTTCTGCATTCAAAACCGACCCGATCCACATGTGGGTCAGCGGACAGTCACCGTGTTAAACTCGAGTTACCGCAGTAATAAAAATACGTGCCCCCTATTTTTGCGTACTCTAGACGAGTTGGAAGGATTTCGTGAAAATCACGGCGACCTTTCGCGCAAATATCCATCGCGAAGTAGCGTTCAGCCTGGCCGTAACTTCGGCGAAACTTTCGAGGTTTCTACGCTGGAACTATCGTTAATTCGTTTTACGGATAGATACCGGCGCGTATGATGTCGACTCCTGTTGGACACCAGCGTTCACCATGCCGCAGTAACAGCAGAATCGTGTTGTTTGCTAGAGTCTTGAAGTAATCGCCGTCCTCTACTTGCGTTCCGTCCGACTCCAACACTAAAGAGACATTCTCGTTCTGTGGCACGCCCAACTTCTCCTTGCCTGCGATAGGAACAACACCACCAGACAGCGATTAGTTATCTCGTACGTTGATTCGTGGATAGTGCTAAAAATAGAAGGTAGATACAGATCGGGGACGAATTATGTTTCTCTCCGTCGTACGAGCGCCGCCTTCTCGATCGCGATTCGATACGGATTTAACATTAAATCAGCGTCGAACGTGTGTACTGTGCGTCCGCGAGAAGTTGGCTAGCGGGACGGCGCAGGGGACAGGGGAGTGATCCGTTTGCTCCGCCCATCCCCACTGCGACGCGTCAGAGAACTAGAGTGGGGGACCAATCGGAGCCGCGTGCCTTTCGCTAGCCAACTTCTCGCGGACTCACGATACATTTCAAACTTCCGATCGCGCGAATTCGTACGAGCCTCGTGAACATCGTGAGCGTCCAGGTTCGGGATCGAAAGGGCGATTACTGTCAAAAACACGTGGTAGTAGCGTCGATGTGTGCATATACTTTCCAGAGCGAGCAGCAGGGCGATTTAGTTTCGCTAGCGGTTTCAATGGACGCGTTTCTTACCCCGGTGTATCAGTTCCTCGAAATTGCTAACAACCAGTCCCTTTCTTACGTTACGCCAGCTGTCCCATATCTTAAAAGGTCTCTTGCTCCGTAACTCCTGCACAGAAATCAACTGTTGGAAATTTCGATTGCGCCGGGAACGATTTGACACGCAGCCAGCAAAACGCGTGATCGTTGCGTTTCTTTATACCTGTCGGTGTATAGCTTGCGGGGAGATTAAGCGGGACTTATGGTGTACGTTTTTTTCAATGGTGAACGTTGTTCTGTCCGTTTCGGGTAAGGATGAGGATTCGAGACGAGTAATCGAATAAATGAATTTTCGATTCGCGCGGATAAATTAATCCCGTTATTCCGCGCCGTCGAAGAAATTAGCATCCGTAGAAAATATCTGACGGTACGTGCCAGAATCCGAGGAACGCGGGCACAGAAGCCTCGCTCAAAGGCAGACACGAGGCCACCGCGTATCGGAAAAAAAGTCTATCAATGGGAGTGGATAGCTTGAAACGGAACGTAATTGCGTGTAAAGAAACCGTAAAACCGTCGGGCCGCCGTGGAAAATGCTTATCGCCTAGATGTTAAGCGAACCGAAGTGTCTGCGCCGGGTCAACAGGAAAGTAATTTTACCCTAGGTGTTTTATACGCGATAACCAAGTAGAACAGACTATAAACAAAAGCCTATCGCGCGCCTCGAGTGAGAAATTATTATCGAATACCCATATATCCTTGCAACAGCGAGGCTTGTATTTTTTCCTCTTGTTTTTATTCTTTTAATATTTTCGTTGCTATTTTCCGCGACGCGCGGCTATCTTCGTACCAAGGCGAGGACCGACGTCGAGGAAAACTTTCGTAAAACGTATTCCACACACCCTTAACCGGGCTCGGTCGTTCGTGGGTACCAGACTTTTCGAGTTCACGGGCAGTCTGTACTAGAAACGTAGGACGTACAGGGCCAAAAACAATATCCTACGTCCGATAGCGTGCATATTGGAGCGATGTTTGCCGTGTCGGGTATCGAGTGTCTCCTCGGTAGCAGCTCTCGGTGTCGTCAAAGCGAAGTCGAGCCCGTGATCTTTCGAGTTTCAGGAAAACTTGGAGTAAACCGAGCCTCGGAAGGAATCTCCGGTGCGAATTCGATCCCGCCCGCCTCCCATAAAGAAAAAAAAAGGAAAAAGAGAAAAGGAAATATGTACCCGCGCGCTGGCAGCCAGGGTCGCGGGTCAAGAGGGCAGCGATCAGTCGATCGTCGAGGTTAACGGGTCCCCGGAGCGGCCGACCGAGACACGATACGCCGCTGTTACTCGCGAACGTTATTAAAATAACGCGAGCCAAAGAGTGGAATTATTATGTTTGGGTTGTCCCTAGTTTTCAACAGGGAGGCGAAAAGCGAGCAGGGGTTGCGCAGACGCGGGCGCAACTTATGGTCGAAAACACTGACCTGATTCAATCATTCTCGGGTAACCGATCAAGAAAAAAAAAATAAAAATCATAGGCAAAATGAACGGGAGGATGGAGGAAGGCGTGAAAACGCAAGGACGAAAGAAGAACGGTGCGACGATTCCGTAGGAAACGCGAGCAGACCGCGAGAACTGCGCGGCTCTGGGTTCGGCGTACGTTGCACTCGGTGTACCGAGGAACAGGATCGCCACTCGATGCGGCATTCCCGTAAGGACAGCCTTGGTAAACAATGCCGCAGAACGCAACGACGAACCTGGACACCGGGGGGATCGAGGCCACGTCGATCCCCGGAGCGGTCGTTCCAACGGGACGAGCGGCGTATAACCTAAAAGGCTGCGCTGAACGCAGTCTAGGTCACAGCCTGGATCTGGCGAGAGAAAGAGAATGGTCCAAAGCCACCGGGGAACCGAAAGACGTTTTCCGTGGGTGTTCTGGGGGCGACGGGGCACGTCCGCGGTCCCGATATGCGTGCGGATGCGTGAGTCCGCGTCGCGGTGATGCGTAACTGGCCAACGAGGATGATGCACTCGCGGGCAAAGCGTGCGCGGTGTCGTACGCGAGACGAGTAAACGAGAGTCGAACAGGGGGTGACCGAGGAACGCGAACGTTTACGGTCGGTTCGCAAGGATAATCGTCCAGGGACGGTCGTCTGTGGATGGGGTTGACACGGTATTGGTGGGATAGCGGTACGTTGAGCAAGCTCGCGCGTAACGTTGTAATGCAAAGAAATTGCGTACCTCTCTTGCCATTACGTCATATCCCTGCAGGTAAGGGACCGTCCCAGCGAGCACTTATTCAGAAGGAACGAGCGAAGATGCTGCACGTCGCATTATCGTGGCGACGGGATACTCTCGTGCACTACTGTCCGCCCACCCTTGCTCGCGCTCTCAGTCTTTCCGTGTCCCTCCCCCCTGCTCCCGTTGGCTTCCCTCTCTTTCGCGGCCCGTTTTTCTCCGTTTCTCTCGGTTCCGTGCGCCTCTTCCTCGTTCTCCTCCCGTTTCTGACCGTTTCTTCACGTCCGACTCCTATCGGCGATCCTCTACGCGAACGTTTGCTCCCCGTGCCGTGCACACCGTACACCGATACACCTCGCGATGCGACACCGTTTACTCTCTTTACCGTTCTCCCTATTCTCCCTCCGATATATCTCTTCTCCCGCGGTCTCCTTTCCTCGCGCGCTACCCACGTATATCTTTTCCCCTATCTCTGTCTCTCTCCCTCGTCCGTGTCCGTTCGCTCTCTCCGGTTCTCCGAGTCGTTCTCTGGATTATCCCAGCACACTCCGTCTATCCGAGCCCGTATCGGCGTTGGCGTTTCGCTCGGGGGAGCCTCGTATCAACGCGCGGGCCGTACGCGACCGACCACCTCCTCGCGGGAACACCTCATTCTAGCTGCCCTCGCCGTACAATTACCCGATCTAAGATTTCACTAGCGCATATGGGGGCAAATTGTAACAGTGGCTTCCTCCCAGTGGTTACTGCGGCGACTCCTAGTTTTAGATCGATTCTCTCTCGGTGTACGTACAGACACCCTCGCCCTCACCCTCGGCCTCTCCTTCTCCCCACGAGTTCACCCGCAACAACCTCGCCCCACACGCGCCACTCTCTTCCGACTGACGACCACTGCCTCCTCGTATCCCCCACGATCTCTTCCAGAGCTACCCAGTTCCCGAGTTCGTTCCAGACGGTGCTGCCTGCCAACCCCTGACAAACCCCTCCGACAATCCCTGCAAGATAACAAACGCACCCTACCTACCCAATGTTTCGACCGGTAACCTACCCCCGCGGGTACGCTGAACCACAGACGAGGTTTACGAGTAGACTTTTCACCTTGCGGACTTTCGTGGCCCAATCTGACTGCCATACCGACCTGAATATTCAAGGGTGTTTTTGGCGTCCCCTTCTCATGGATGACGGTCAGTTGAGAAACTATTCACTGAATTAGTATTGATGGGCAGACAGCTGCAGTGTGTGCGTAAATGCATGTGAGTTGACTATGGACGGGATTGAAATTCATTTCCAAATCTGTTGGTAACGTTGCGAGTGACACAAATGAACAAAAGAGGAAGTGAGACAGAAAATGAAATTACAGAAACATTCCGGGCCACGCGTTATATTTTCGGTAAGGAATTTTTTTTCTCGAAACTGGTTAGGATTTCGAGGGTATGTCTGTTCACCAAAAATGATTGTAATTGACCCCCGCAATCAAAAGTAATTTTTTTAGAACGATTGGAAATTTTTTATTTTCGTCGAAAAATTTGCCCATCTTCCTGAATTTTTTTCTCGAAAATGCGTAGGATATTTTCGTTCAAGCCTTCGTTTTCAAATTAATTGAATTTGAAAATTTGTCGAAGTACATTTGGCTGCCGCGTCTGGCCACTAATGAATTTTCTACTTGCACCCAAAGTGATAATGATAGATTTCGGTCCAGCGGCGAGCCTTATATTAAATACATAGAAAACTGAGAAAATTCCCCTTTTCTAAACAAGCGATTATCGACGTGCGTATCATAAGGGGGTTAAGACGGAAATAACCAGTGTGATCGCGTGGCGATCGAAAACAGGTGCAAGTTTTGCGACCATTGCCGATGGTGTTGTCTAGACAACCATAAATGCACCGACAAATATTAGCGTGCGTAGAGCTCTTGAATGTTCAGTACAGTTTACTACGGTCCGTGCATAATCGCGAAAACAATTGTCCCCTGAGCAAGTATGATAAACATCAGCCATCCAAACATTCACGGGAAACCACCCGTTAAGAGATCCCTCCCAACGAATGGCATCGTCTCGAAGCAGATAGAAATCACGGAAGAGACTGTCGTCTACAAGAAAGGGGAGTTTGACGATAATGCAAATGTGGAAACGAAGAAAGCTGATTATAACCAAAATATTATCGAGACTACGTCGTGCTCGTTCGAACAACTCTGCAACATGATCGACGATCTGGAGAAGAACATTGCTAGCGAAATTCCAGAAATGGATCGACTCCAGGTTCTCGTCCCACCTGTATATTTCTTTATATTTTCGTTTCGAGGGCTAAATAAGTCTGAAGTTTCTTTTGCCCGTAAATGTGCATCGAAAAGTTGAATTTAATGGTACCTTTGTAGTTAGAACCGGAGAAAGACGACTCGAGAGACAGACACGGATCCACCGAGACTTACGACGACATAATGTCCTTTTTAGCGAAACTCGAAGATGGTAGCTGACCGATACTAATTTTCTTGGTATTAGAATTTCCGTTGATCGTTTTCTCGCGATTTTACTGACAGTTTAAAACGCGACAGGTTCTCTGGACGCGACGAAAGTGAGCGTACCGGAAGTGGACGCCGCCATGCTGCAAGAGATATTCGCCAATTCGCAACCGTTGCCTTGCGTTAGCTGCGACAGGTGAGAATTCGCGAATAGAAACGACATTTTACAGTCCAAAGAGCATGAATTTTTTTCACTGCTGAATTAATCGGTGTTTATTCTCTCTGAAGACAGTGAAATTCTGTTCGTTTCTCTAGCACAGTTACAGCCAAGAACGCGGACCACGTCCCTCGCGTGTTCGAAGAAGATTTGACCACGGCGCATTTGCAGCTCGAGGAGAAAACCGCTACGGTGACGCTTCTAAGAGAGCAACTAAAGTCCGAGAGGAAGTTGGCCTGCGAGAAACTGGAAGCTCAGAGCAAGAGCAGCGCGTCGAATCTACAGGCGCAAGAGGACAAATACAAGGGAATCGTGAAGAGACACCAAAAGTTCGTCGAGCAACTCATCACGGAGAAAACCGATCTGACCGAAAAATGCAACTCGCTGGCGCAGAGGGTCAAGGAAATCGAAATAAAGATGCAACGAGATATGAAATGCGCCGCTGACAGACACGAGGTGGAACTGCAAAGGGCGAGGGAGCACTGCGCCGCGGCTGAAAAGATCAAAAGGGAGCGATGGATAGAGGCCAGAACGACGAAGATCAAGGTATTCGTCGTAATGATTTGGCCACTACAGATTTACCCTATTCTCGTTAAATCGTTCGCTTCTTCTCTCTGTCTCTACTGGACACAGACTCATAGCCAGAACCACCATGTATTTTTCAACGAGTCCTTTTTCAACAAAAACTCTGAGTTAGTGATTTAAGGATGAGTGAGTTAAAACAAGTACATTTGAAAAGCAACGATAACGCTTTTAGGAGATGACCGTGAAAGGGCTGGAGCCCGAGTTGCGAAACATGATGGAGAAGCACGCCGAAGAAATTCAGAGACTGAGAAACGTGCACATGAAAGAATTGCAGGACGCGGAATTGCGGATAATACGCAGATCGAATCAACAGTTGGAGCAGCTCCGACTGGAGCTCACCGAGAGCCATGAAAGGATACTAACTAACGAAAAGAATATTTTGTGGACCAGGTGCAAGAGAAATCTTCATAGACGCGTACCGCTCGAATCGGTCAAAATGGTTTCTAACGTTCGAATCGTTCCTTCTGTTTCGTCAGATACAAGGATAAGTTGGAGGAGCAAGAGGCCCAGTTTAAAGAACGACAAACGAAGTTCATAGAAGAGTTGCAGTACGACAGGGATAAGTTCAGCAGAGAACAAGCAAAACGCGACGCTGAAATGGAGGCAGAGTTGCAACGAATTCGTCTACACTGTCAGGTAAAATTGGAGGCTTCGAGCGAAGGTTGCTGTTACCGATCTGAGAGACTCGTTATTTTGTTTAGCAAGAAATAGAAACACTGAAGCAACAACATTCGAACGAAAAGAAAGCTCTTCAGGAGTCGTTGAAGACGGAGTGGGAGACTTGGCTCGCCGATTATAAGAGACAACAGAATTTGAAGTTTGAAAAGGCTGAGAGTAAAATACGGGACGACTGCTATAAAGAAAGAGATCGACATATCGAAATTGCTATCGGACGCCTCGAAAAAGATTGTCGAGAAACGAAATTGGCCCTACAGCGAAATTTTGATTGCAAACTTCGGTAGTCGAAACATCCCCGAGCGATACTCGACTGACTTCCAAATACAGTCCTGTACTATTCCAGATCTTTGCGGGAGAAGTTCGAAATGGACCTGCAAACTGCGAGAGATAACGAACAGTTCCACAAAAACAAGTTAGCGCAGACTCAAGATAAACTCGACAGAACTGAGGTTGAATTGCAGAAGGCAGAGAAAAAATTGGAAGGGTGTTTGTCTGACTGGAACAACGTAAACGAGGTAGTATATTTCGTGGTTTTATTGGTGAGTTTACAATAAGAGATAGCATTTTCAGGCGGTAAAACGATTAAGTGTGGAGAAGGCTAATGCCAAGAAACTGGCGAGGCAAGAGATCGAAGTAGAGAAAAGAGAACTGGAAGATAAGATAACTTCCCTTTACCAAGAAATAACTCGAAATAATACAAACAGGGACGCATCAATGGCTCAACTCCACAGCAGGTCTTATATTAATTTTTTAACAGATCCGTTAAAGATAGTACTTTTTTCGTTTTATTTATTACAGTTTTACATTCCAGAATTAAACTAATAATGACTCAAAAGGTTCTAACGATAAAAAATCTTACCAAACAACTTAATGACGTTAAATCGAAGTGCCAACATTTCGAGAAATTATTGGACCAACAAAGGAGGGAATACATTTTGAAAAGCTTATGAATGACAACTGTTGACATGTATCGGTTACTTATATTTTTATTTTATATTTTTTTTGTGCACTCGGATACCTTCCGTTTCATCAGAAATAAACACAGTATTTTTAAACGTTTAAACAACTTCCAAGTAATTTATACATTTATTTGATAGAAAACTAATTTTCAACCACTCCTAACAAATACTCTTCGATTGTATGTATACAGTGAAAAGTTATTTTATACGTTGATTATCTATTTCGCTGCACCCTATTTTCTGTTATAATAAAAATATCGCATAAATTCGTACGAAGCGGAGAAAATATCAATTTAAAAGCTTCAATATTCTCAATTATAAAAAACCAAAATTACTGTAAAAGTCATTTAAATGATTTTTTTTCTATTATAATTGCGCGTAAAACTTTAAGTGGAATTATACTTTTTTCACAATCTGTACGACATCCTCGTCGCACAATACATGGTCTTTACCTACTTTCTGCGGTTGATGTTTGACAGACGAACCCCATACAAGAGCACTGCAAATAACAAAAAAAAAAACAAATATCGATTTGATTCGTTTCTAGTATAAATGTAACAAAACAATAAACTTACTACTTAAATTCTTTTGCGATAGATCGATGAAGTTTGTTACAAAAATCTTCAACAGTTCGCTTCTCTCTATTTAATACTACAGGAGAATTATAATCCGGAAGTTGACCTTTAGGTTTGGTATAACTAAAAAATGGCGAAATAAAATAAGTTATTTGCGGAAAAATAAAATCAATCGCTTCGAGAACTTACATTCGAACCAGCTGCAAATAATCCCACATTTTTTCAAGCAAATCATCGAAGTTCCATTTATGATGAGCAGAAATAGGTACACAATGCGGAATTTTGTAAATAACGTCTAACTCTTCGATACTGATTTGATCTAAAATTATATACAGAGAATTGCGATCGACGTTTCAATCAAATGTTAACTGACAGATCATGACCAGTGATTACCTATTTTATTGAGCAAATAAATACAAGGTACATAAACACGGTTTCCCTCGATAACGTCGATCAGATCGTCGGACGTAGCATCATACCGCAAAGTAATATCTGCATTATGAATTTTGTACTCTGACAGAATAGTTTTCACGTTGTCTAAGTCAAGTTCCGATTGTGCGCACTGGTAATTACAAAACAACATAATCAATTGAATCATGCCCAATTTTTTTTATTGTTCTTCTTGTTAGTCAATTACCGTAGTCTGAAAGTTGATGCCACCTTTATCCTTTTTCCTGAAGGTAATGTTTGGTGGCTGTTTGTTTAATCGTAACCCAAAGCCTTCTAATTCATGCTCAATTAGCCTTTTGTGTCCAAGTGGTTTCAGTACATCCAGAACAATGAATATTAAACTACAAGTTCTAGCTACTGCTATAACTTGCCTTCCACGTCCCTTGCCATCCTTGGCACCTTCGATAATACCGGGAAGATCCAATAACTAAAAAAAAATTAATGATTTCCAAATACAGAATGGATATGTTACTTCTGTTTTTAGGGAAACAAGCATAAAACCTGTATTTTTGCACCCTTGTACTTTATACACCCTGGAACAGTCGTCAGGGTTGTAAACTCATATGCTGCAACTTCTGAATATACACCAGCAAGAGTGCTTAAAAGAGTAGATTTACCAACAGATGGAAAGCCTGCAATGTTTGTACAAACAAAAGTAAAGACTGTGCTTCGCTGTAAATATTATTTAAAGCCTATAATCAATACACACCAACAAAACCTATTCTAGCATCACCAGTTTTAGCCACTTCAAAACCTTGCTCACCACCACCTCCGCCACCTTTTGGAGTTATGAGTTCTCTTCTCAGTTTAGCTAATTTTGCTTTTAGTAAACCTAAGTGGCTAGATGTAGCTTTATTTTTTTGAGTACGAGCCATCTGTCGAAAAAGTCATTTTTTCAGGAAAAAGTCATTTTTTCAGGAAAAAGTGTCCAGAAATGAAATATAAAATAGTTTAACGCAGAAGAGAGGTTACCTCGGCTTCGATTGAAGCAATCTTTTCCAATATTGTACTCATCTTGGAATAATATGATATACAGAGCTTTCTTTAATTTCTATTTAAAATACGTTCTTATTTATGATCTTTCAGTTTCTTCCATTACAAATTTGCGCGAATACTTCGCTATAAAAACTTACACGTGCTGACAAGTTATATGCACATGTTACACACAGTTGAATGCGGCCAAATATCATAGCTTTGCTATAAAAAAAAAATGCAAAATTTTTGTCCCAGACTTTAAGCCAGTTTTCAAATAGAGATTTAATATTATTTTCAATTTATACCATCAACTAGTGTTATCGTAAAAAACTTCGTTCGGATTTACATAAATTAATTAATTTATAAATCTACGAATCTTCGTTCATTCGACCATCAAAAATGTTTTTAAATTAAGAGTACATCGATTGTAAGATACAATGCAAAATTCGATTAAATAATGTGCAAACAAAATTGATAGTATCAATATTGTATTACTCCCTACAAATATACATCATGTATAATAAATAAAATCTCTATTTCATTAAAATAATTATACTATATAATGAAACAGTGTATGTATTTATGAAATTAATATATAATTTCATATGATTGAAAATAATGTCTTAAATAATATCTAACTAAATCTATACTATTCATAAATGAAATTAATATATGTAGATACCTCCATACAATATAGAAATACACAATCTACGCGAACACACGTGTGGTGTATGCACATATACATTTATGATGCGTGCATATGCTATTTTGTATGACAGATGTATTAACCTAAGCCCTAATAATTCATAAATCACTCAATGCACTTAATGTATGTCTTTCAAGCCTTGCATTGCTGCATTAAAACGAAAGAGCACCATATTTATAAACTGAAATAAAGACTTTATTGATGAAATCGAGAATTCGATTAATGAAACAAATACATAATTTTACAATCTATAACTTAGCTTAAAAAGTTACAATATTTAATCATGCCGGTTTTCCAAGAGTCTTGTGCTGAGGTAATATTTTTAATTCTATATTATTAATGTGTAGCATGTAATTGAAACACAAAATCCTGTTTGTTTAATTTCAGCAAATTCAAGCACAAACAATTGTTATAATACATCCTGGCTCTATGTACCTTAGAATGGGCAGAGCATCTGATTTGAACCCTTGTACTATATTAAATGCTGTTGCAAGAAGACGTTTACCTGGGGGATTTGAATATAAAGATAGTTTATTACCATCTGCTGTACCGCGAGTAGGTTTTCTTATGAACAATATTTTTATAAAGGTGTCTTATCTTGTATTGCTTTTAGTAGACAAAGGAATTGACCCAAGCAATGGAAGAATCACGTCTTCAAGTATCTCATACTTTACAATCTTGTCTTCAATCTGATGGAAGAAGAAGATACGCTACACCACCGCAACAGATAGCTGCTTTTAATCGTAGATCAAATCCAGAAATATCCTCACCATGTAGTGTTGAATGGATAAAAACAAACAAAGATATAGTGGTTGGGGATGATGTATTGTCTTTAAATCCAGATGATAATTTTAATGTTCATTTCCCATATAGAAGAGGAGAACTTAATGTACATTCAGGGCCTGGTGGTAGTTTACGAGCTATTATGGCTGACTTAAAAACAATTTGGGAATATGTTCTCACAGAGAAAATGGACATTCCTTTACGAGACTTAAAACATTACAGGGCTGTTCTCATCATACCAGACATTTATAACAGGCAATACTTAAAGGAATTCACAACTTTAATGCTTTGTGATATCGGATTTGGAGCATATTTTCTCCTACAAGTTGGTATATAGCATGCATAAATGTAGAGGGTGGATGAGACATAAATTATTATTACGATTTTTTTTTTTTTAAGGATCATGTAGCAGCCACGTTTGGTGCAGGATTAGGATATGCATGTGTTGTTGATGTTGGAGATCAAAAAACGTCAGTTTCTTGTGTAGAAGATGGAATTTCTCACAGAAATACAAGAGTGCGTATGGATTATGGAGGCGGTGATATTACGCAAACGTTTTTCTGGCTGCTACAGAAATGTGCATTTCCATATAAGACTTGCGATCCTTCAAACAAATTGGATGCATTACTTTTAAATCAACTTAAAAAGGATTTTTGTCATGTTGATCTAAATGTATGTGGCTCTCAGGAAAAGACATTCGTGGTCAGAAAACCCAAACAACAAACAGAAAAATACACCCTTCAGGTATAAATAATATTTTTTTAGTGTGGTGCTTTAAACATCAAATTATTTTAAATGCTTGTATTAGCGACAAGTACCCTTTCCAGGTCGGTGACGAGTGTTTAGTAGCACCACTTAGTTTGTTTCAACCAGAATTATTTAAAGTCACTGGAACACATAGTGTACACATACAAAGGAGATCAATGGGAGATCCGGAAGATCCGCACGATGAAAATTACTTACGAGAAACAAGCGTAAGTACGAAAAACGCGTTCATTATTTTCGTTCGAGCAAATATCAAATTCATTGCTTCAGAGAAGAGGTATAAAAGAAAATCTAGAGCAAACGTCTGAAATGCAAGAGGAAGCGACTGTACCAACTGCAGGAGGAGAAGAAGAAGTAGTAGTAGATGCTGTAGATTCAGCACCAATTACTTTGTCGAATCGAGATTTGGACGCTCCGCGTGACTTTGTGGTCGGTCCTCAGCAGCTCTTAGGTCTCGATCATGCCGTGTTACAAAGCATCGATCGATGTCGTACGTATTGTATCAGTTGCAATAATACAGGATGTAACCTAACATATAGAAACCACCTACTTGCATAACTGAACCAATAATCACGTACTTTCTGCAAAGTATTATCTATTTTTGTAAAAAATGTAATAAAGTCTTATTGTGCTAATATCTTATAGCTACTGAAGATCTGAAAAGAAAGATGTACAGTTGTGTACTTGTTGTGGGATCAGGCATGAAATTTCAGGGTATAGGCATGTGGTTACATAATCGAATCTCCCTTCAAATTCCTTATATGTACAGAGCTGGTATGTTTCTACTAATTGTAGCTTTTTCAAGAAATATACATGAACAATCTTTCATTTTCTATATTATTGTAGAACAACTTGATATCATAACACAACCTAAAGAGATGGATCCTGGCATGACGGCATGGAAAGGTGCCGCTATTTTGAGTTGTTTAGAATCTGCTCAAGAATTATGGATTGGTCGGCAAGAATGGGAACGCATTGGTGTTAGAGTATTGAGAGAAAGAGCACCCTTTATGTGGTGAAATTTCAAGGAGTCAAAGTATTGTTTATATGTGTAATTTAAGAAAAGTCTAATTTTCTATATTTATATACAGTATAATGGTAATTACTATACAAGATTTCTGCTTTACTTCTCGAACTTATGTAATTAATTGTAGACCTATTATACTTCAAATTTTTATTACAAAAATATATTATTTCTTATAACATATCCATTAATCTAACTTTATTTTTATCATTCCTATGATGCATGATGATGTCAGCTTCAATTAAGAAATTTGTGAAATGCAATTCCTGTTCTGGTAAAATGTCTACATACACATCATCTCCACCACTTAAATATGATGTTGTTAGTTTCTGCAAATTTTTTGTTTCAATTTTTATTCTAGCAATTTTTTATAATGTTAAAACACGCTTATACTTACAGCTAAAAAATCTGTTATTGTCTTGTTGTCAGGAAAAATTGTACTTACAACAGTCTGCTAAAAATTTAAACACAGTGTATAAAATTAAATACAAATAAAGTACTACTATAATAATACTTCTTCCAACATACCAAATCCTTCTTTACAGAATTAAATATCTGTTTTAATAAAACATTTTCTCTAGTATATGATGTATTGTCTATCATTTCACTGTGTTCTAAATAAGCTTGTTTCATTTTTTCTAATCCTATTTTCTTGTTTTCCAAACTGCAATAAAAACGATGGACTTTAAGTAACCCTTCATTATAGTGTTTCCAAAATACTTGTTCTTTTTTACATACTAAGATATATCATCTTCGATAAATGATTGATACTCTTGCAAGCTTTCCAGAAACTTTTTTGCTGTCTGGACTTCCTCTTCTAGTTCTTTCAAAACTTCAACATGTAAATCAGATGTCTTAAGTATAGGAAAATCTTTAGGTTTTTCTTCAAAAACCTGATTTAATAAATGTTTGCAACATTTGTGTTGCTTCTTCCGTATTTCCTCTAAATTGCTGTTCCTCTTGAAAGATACTGGACTATTTTCTGACAATGTATCTATTAAATCTTCTATTTCTTTTGTTCGTTCCGACTGTATATCTTTTAACGTTTGAAAAGCATCATCTAAAGTATATTCCATTTTCTGTATTTCGTCTTACGTTATTGTTAAAGAATGTACAAAAATATACACACTACGATATCTGTATTCGCAAATTTTATAAAAAATATTTACGATCAAAAGAAATTCTACCAAACTCAACTACATCCTACAAAATCGCGCCAAATTAAATAAACAAATTTCCATTTGAACGTCTCTAATACAATCTGTTCGCCTTAAGGTGAATTTACATTTATCAAACAATTTCACAAGCAATTACTGTACTTTGATATATTGCCATGAAAACGTAACTTACAACTTTTTTGAAATGTTCGAATTACGTTTCAAAACGTTTAGGCAAAAGATGTGTGCTATCTGAAGATAAGACCCAAATTTTAATGCTATTAAAATATATCTTTACTGTTACAAGACGTCGGTAATGTTTTATAAATATCGTTCACAACCAAGACGTTCACAACGTCTTTATGACGTTTTACCTCAATCGACTTCAGTATTAGTCGTGAAACAGGAAAATTACGAGTCTGATTTTGCACTTGATACAGAGTAAGCTGGGCACCGGTCTGTTTGATAACATTGCCCCCTCTCAATATGGCTTGTATTAGGGTTGGCTGTGCCTTTATTAATTTTGAAACGTTTTAAAACGTTTTGTAAATATTCGTTAAAGTTCATAATCGAGACATCGTGAAAAAAATTTCTTAAAGTTCTTGTTTGTAACAAATGTTGTTTAAAAGATGCTTGAATTCAAATAATGTTCGAAACGAATCTAATTCACAGCTTAGATGTTTCAAGACTTTTGCCGGATTCAAATTCGTATAACCATTATTAAGTACATACATATTTAAGTACCTACACAGTTGTCCAAAAGTTTTATCTCAGTCGTTTTAAAGACATTACATCGATATTATTATAAACATATAACTTACAACACCTTTAAAACGTTCAGACGTAAAATGGATGACTTTAAGACATCATGAATAGTTACTGCTTGAATGATTACAATCACTTATGTATGTATATTCGAAAGAAAGATTATTATTTTTGTGTTATGTATCTAGAATAAATTGCTTTTAAATAAACTACAATATAAATTTACACACAACGCAGTTCATTATAATCATAAATGTCTTACTAATGTTCGTATATACGTATCTTACAATTTTATCTTCCTAAGTAGGGGGAAACTTGTTTATTCTACATTCTTCGCCTGCATTTCTTTAATCGCATAGAGTGGAGATACACATGCAAGTGTTAAAGTAGTATATCATCTTAACTAAATGGTAATGGTGCGTTACAGTTTATCAGACAATTAAATATTTTTTTTTAACAGTAGTCCACAACAGTATGCAAATGCAATAAATACCTTGTGTTCCAGTTAAAATAGCCGCGCTTAACTTCTATCATGTGTCAAAACGTATGTGTACAATTTGTGTAGAGTTTATCATTTTTAAATAAAGAACTGTTTGAATAGTACCAGCGTCAGTTTAACTGTTAAAATTCTTAATTTGTATTCGTATCAGTGCGAATACGTTGATGAGGAGAATGTTATGGTGAAAGATTGTTGATATTCTTTTTAATGGATCAGGATTTATTAACTGGGTGATTACAAATGAAAAAAAGACATCGTTATGTCTTCAATTAAGAAGAAGGTTAATCGTTAAAGGATATTTTTATTAAAATTGTATTTTAAATAGTGACAAAGTTGTTACACTCATTTATAAAGGTATTTATTTAGCTAGTATGAAATATAACATTAAGAATTATTTATAGGAATGATTCATGTGACATCTGTGCATTTTCATGTTTACTTTTTCTTGTTGAAAATTTGTATTTTGTGTTAAAGTATTATTTTGAAACATATATTCAGTTTTATTATAGCTATTTTAATAACTTCATTTGTTACATCAGCTTTGAGAAGTTAGTTGTATTGATATTTTAATTGGTGTATTTATACAAAATACTTCTAATTAAAATATTGTTATTAGGGTATGAACATTTATGAAAACATTTTAAAATAAACTGACAAAATGGTAAGTAAATTACCTCAAGAGTTTAGGAGGTACCAACGTAATCGAAATAACTTAAGGCTTATTCTTGATGAAACTCGAAGAGCATTAGGAGTTATTAATACTGAAAACATTTTTCCTGGAGGTAAATATTTACAATTTTTGAAACTTAAATACTTTCAAGATTAATTTTTACTTGAAAATATTTATTACAGAAGATATTGTTGAGGAGTTATTGCCTCCATTAACATTAGATAGAATTACTAATATTTTATCAAATTCTCCTGCCATTGTTATTTTTGGGCAGGACAGTAAATCAAAAGCAACATTAGTTAACAGTTTGATTTCTAATGATGTTTTACCGGTATCTAATGGACTTTGGCGATGGATTAAGTTCACTCATGGACAAATAAACCATGTTAGTCTCACATTAGGCTTAGAGTATGAAGTAGTTGAAAATTTACAAGCTAATGAGAAACCATGGAGTACCCTTCCAATTGAGGACTTAACAAGGTCTGGGGGTGAAGATATAAATTGTCCAACAGTACTTGAAGTTAAACTTGATCAACCGATACTAAAAGATGGTGTTCAAATATTTGTTGCACCAAATAATGGGGCAGTAAAAGTTCTTGCCAAAGGACTATTATCTATTTTACCAATATTTCTTTATGCTCTGGGTGACCAACCTTTGACAGAAGAAAATATTGAAGAATTAAGGGATTTGAAAGAAACATATCCTTTTAATCCTGTACTTTTTATATCATCATTAGGAAATATTACATTGGCTAGTATTGATGCTGAATTGACTGAATCTGAACAGCATAGATTGCAAAATCGATTAAATCCTAATGATTCTGTGTCAAATAAAAATGATGACAGTATTGATTTTGACAAAATGAATTCGCTTGGCATAACATGGCTGGATCAGTTGACAAACTTGGGTTTTCTCGGTATGGAAGAATCTGTTGAAGTTGATCAACTGGCTTGGTTGGGTGGTGGACAATATGTTAATTCTAGCGACTTGTTGGATTCATGCAAAAAGACAGATAGAATTTTATATTTTGTTCATGGATGTTTGCAAACCTATCTTATTAATGCTAGCACTTCCTTAAATGAAGTACATACAACTAGTCTACGAAAGTTTATTTTAAGTACTTTTGATATGGCACGTAAAATTCAAATAACTCCAAGAAGAATACAGTATGCCCAGTTGAAAGAAAGTGAATTATATATTAGTTTAATGACACTTGTTAATGAAAACCAACAGGAATTAACCGAATTAATACAAGCTATTGTGCAAGAGATGAAGGATGATGTATTATTATTAGACAATGATGTATGTTCATATCAGAGCATTCCTTTTAATGATACAGAGAGGGCAGAATGGTCTGCAACTATTAGAGCTACAATTTCTGAACTTCAGCGAGTGGTGCTTGGTCGCTTAGGTGAAAAAGTTGCCAAGCAACTTATAAATTCAGTCAATTGCTTGCGTGAGACATTTGTTGGTACATTGCAACGATGTTTACTAAGTCTTGAAAAAACATGCGAACGTGATTCTTGTTTACTAGCAAGTGATGCTTTAAAGCAAATACTTTCAGCCGCATATAATGTCGAGTTACATAATTCTTCACCATCTTTAATACATTCTTTCTTGGAAAGAATAAGACAACTTTTTAAATCCTTACCTTTGCCATGGTCGTCAACGCCGACTTTAGACGCTGCTTGGAGAAGGAAAGTTACTATCGACATACTGAATTCATTATCAGCTGCAAAGCTAGCTAGAACAATATCTACTCAGTTCAGAGATAAACTTAAGGCCTCGCATGATTCGTTTCAAGCAGCTCTCAGATCTTTAGAAAATTATTATTCTGGAAAATTAGAGAGAACAGAAGAACAAAGAATAGCTATCAGAAAGTGTCATGCTCCCAGATTGGCTAAATTAGCATTAGAATCAACATCAATGACAGATGTTGTTCGTTATGGAACCCCTCATTGTGGTAAAGAAATTGGGCGTGGTCAATATGGAGTAGTATTTGCTTGCGATGGATGGGGTGGTGCTCCAGGTCCCTGTGCAGTTAAATCAGTTGTTCCACCAGATGAAAGGCATTGGAATGATCTAGCAATGGAGTTTTACTATACCAGATCTATTCCAGATCACAAAAGAATAGTAAAACTCAGAGGATCAGTTATAGATCTATCTTATGGTGGAGGATATGGTCTTGGATCTGCAGTTCTTTTAATATCTGATCGTTTAAGTCGCGATTTATATTGTGGAATACGTGCTGGTTTATCTTGGTTAGAACGTATACAAATAGCAATAGATGTTTTAGAAGGAATACGTTATCTTCATTCACAAGGACTTGTTCATCGAGATATTAAGTTGAAAAATGTACTTCTTGATACAGAAAACAGGGCAAAATTAACTGATCTTGGGTTCTGTATCACAGAAGCTATGATGTCAGGGAGCATTGTTGGAACACCTGTCCATATGGCACCAGAACTTCTCTCTGGTCATTACGATAGTAGCGTCGATGTATACGCATTTGGAATTTTATTTTGGTATATATGCGCAGGACATGTAAGGTTACCATATGCTTTTGAGCAGTTTCATAATAAAGAACAATTGTGGACTAGTGTAAAGAAAGGTAATTTCAATTTCATTCAAATCTTATACGATTTCTTCTGTTTTATACTTTCCTAAATGTTTGTTTTTTGACAATAACAAGGTGTACGACCTGAACGATTATCTAATTTTTACGACGAATGTTGGAAATTAATGGAACAATGCTGGTCCGGAGAACCGTCTAAACGGCCTTTGCTCGGAGCAATTATACCGGTCTTAGAATCGATTCAGCAGAAAGCAGAAAGAGGCAAGTCCTTACAACAGCTCACCACTGTGAAGCTACAAGAAAGTTCATCACACTTGAAAAATCCTGCATTAGCATTAGCAGAACCTTATAATCAGAGAGGTTGTGTAATCAGTCCACTTCCTGTAAAGCGCAAGCCATTAAGAACAGTAAAACATCCTGTGTTTCACATTACTAATCTATTTCAAGCAAGTCTATGCTCTAATTTATATGTTCAAATGCGAGAATTCTAAAAATGTTTCACGCTCTTTGTTTTTAATTTATAACTTGAAAAAGATTCGATTATATTTAAAAGATATTTATGACAATTTCTCATTTTCTACTGCACACATTTGACATTTTTTTCAATAGTATTTCAAATGCAGTATTAATTTGACGAACTTCTTATTAGTTATTCTTTTATCAATTTTTTTCATTTTACATTTATTTGTTTGCGTACTAATAATCATAATAGCAAAATGTACTGATTCATGTAAACGTAATGCATAATTAAGCAATTATGATCATTATATAAATGTTTGTTTATGTTAGAAATATAAGTAATTGCAATATTTGATATTATTTTACATATGTAATTAGTGGGATATATTACAAATTTTTATAAGATACGACAAAATATACCTGGACGTTGCACTAATTACATATGTTAGTTCATATTTCATTGTGATAAATAAATTATTGATAGTAGAAAAAAAGTAACAAAATTAAAAATTGTATATTAACTATTGAAGAATAAATAAAGTTTCCCAGTTTTCTATTTGTCATTTGAACGTTATTTTAACTTTCTTTTTTAGTGTCCACTTAATATCTTAAACATTTGAATCTTTAGAGATACAAAATAAATGATTTAATGACAGATCCTATCTGTTGTGTATACAAATTTATATTGTTTTCAGATGGCATGTTCTTCAGTACATATGAATCCCAAAATGGAATTTGAAATGGTGTTAACAGTTTTTAAAACGCTTTTATCATTTGACACAAAGTTCTATGATTTTATCACATAGTATTAAGAATCTCAATAATTGTAAATTTGTAAATGAAAGAAGAGACATAGTAATTTCTTAAGGTATGAAATATTTCTTTTTTGAATATATTTCTATAGAAATTTTATTTACTCTTAAATTATAAATATGTATTACTAGTATGCACTATAACTAGTCATAATACCATTATAAATATTCATTGTTCATAGTTTGCTATACAATTGTCAATTACTATAACTGTATTAATCTGTTTAATAAAGTTCTATAATTACATAATTATAATTTTCTTTACATCTTGTTTGAAATGCATAAATAATGTACAAAAATATCTAACAAATAACATATTCATAATATAATTGAATGGATTTGGAATTAAATGTACAAGTTATTTAAAGTAGTACGTCAAGGTTAGATTTTGCTTTTTCTAAATCATGTAAGAATTTGTAAAATTGACTTATTGTCATTTCTATAAAGACATTCTTGGTTTTGGCACCTTCTTCTAACTCTAATTTAAGTTGTAGAAATGATTTTCCCACAGTATCAGATTCATTGCTTGCTGCAGTCACTGTAACAGTGATATATTTTTCTTAGTATTCAAAGTTTCACATTGTTTAATCAAGATTTCTCTATGCAATAGTACATTTTTTTGTAGTTTTTAATAAACTGTTTAATACAGCTGTAGAATTACAGAAACTGTTTTCTGCATTTAATGGCAGAATAATTATTTTTATATTTAAAATTTACAATTTATAGAAGGATATTTTGAAAAAAATATTTGTGTAAAAAATAGAATCTAGTTGAAAAGTAATAACTTTTTGTCTATATCAGAAGTTGGCAAACTATGACCCACAGACCAGATTTGGTTCACTGTTTATTATTGTATACCTTATGAACTGAAGGTGATTTTTAAATAAATTTTATAATAGGGTAACAAAATTACTGTTTAAGTCTATAAAATATAGACTGTGATACAACCATGTTTAATTTCAATATTTGCAGTAAGATCTCTTTGAAAACATTGTCAAAAAACATTGTTCAAATTTTAATAATGGACCATATTAACTTTGAAGTCCAATGAAAAGTAATTATGTTTTATGGAAAGAATTCAATGGTTCTCTTTTATTTCTCAAAGTCTACTTATGTGTAAACATATTTGGTTTTCATTTGCTATATTTATACGGCAAGCAAGGCCCAAATTCTTTATTATTCGATAATTTTCAGAATAAGTTTGCCGACCCCTTGTTTATATTGTTCTTTGAGGTTATACATCCTTACCACCGAATCTCCATGAAACATCAAGTATTTTGCTAACAGTTTTAACCATTTTATACCATTAATTATTAGTCTTTAACATGTAAATTAAATAGTTTATATATGTTTGTGTTACAAACTATTTCGTTAAAGTACGGATCAACCACAATTTTGACGGGTAACTTTACAGTAATGCGAGTATCGTCATAGACGAGATATAGAATAGACATTACATGCAATGCTTTTTTTGTTACACAAATTGGGGGCTTGCGAGTCATCATTTCCGTGTCACTTCTAACGTTATCAGTTTAAACTGGAATTTTAATTTTGTACTCTCAGTGTTAGGAATTAAGACCAAATATTGGGAGAATTTAATTATTTCGCAAGCAATCGAAATTATACCTCAAGAGCGATACATTCAATTCAATGTCTTGTAAAAGTATATGTAAAAATGAACAATTTATAAATTATCTCTTATATATTATTTATTGAAAATATGTCAAAGTATCTTGACTTCAGAACTATACAACCGTATAATACGTAAATAATTTTTCATCCAAACTTTTGTCGATATCGTATCAGAAGCAATATTCGTGAATTTCCTGACGTTACCGACGTCGATGATTGGGTTAAATACGATTCTCAGAGTCATTGCCCTTAAATACAGAGTGCGTTATAAAACTACTGATTTTCGAATAGTTGATAGGCAGCAGACTAGTTGCGTGTAAATGCATACAAGCTGAAAAGTACGAATTATTCGCGTTTCCTTGACTAGTTAAAGTTGTAAATAATTTGCTAAAATCAGTCTATCCGCGGTTTCTATCTGAGGCATTCCTCGGGTTCGTAATACAAGCTTCGCGAGACATCGGAGCTTCCCCCACCCCGCCGCTTAATTCGCGAGCGTTGCCGAGCACAGCGGACGGCTATCATTCATACTTTGAAAATAAACATGGTAAGACGTGTCAAGTTTATCCTTCCACTATTACTACTCGCGTTTTAATTACGATCTCTTGCAATACGGTTTCGATTTAATCATTACTTAATTGTAATAATCGTTTGCGTACTTTAATGCATCGTTATTTCGTTTCTGTTACAGTCTCTTATTGGAATTCGAAATTAAGAAATAATAAGACTTGTTGGAACCTGTTAAGACGTGTCGGCGTTTCACGACCAACGGGGTACATACGTGTTTCTAACCTTTTAATATTTCTTCATTATTATCAATTATTGTTTAATTATGATTTAATTTGTATTTCATTTCTGTTGCAGTCTCTGATTGAAATTCGAGGCCATGGAAAGTTTCATTGGCGCGTAAACGACGCCATAACAGATGGCAGACGAGTCGACAAATTTTGGAGGGAATATTGGTAACTTCTAAACAATTATATTAAAAATTAACATCTATATCAATATTTATATATTTTTATTTCTTTATTACGTTATTCGTTGCAAGCATGACCATAATTTTATAATCGGCCATTGTTAAGATAAATTATGAAAATCTTTGACAAACTTTTTATCCACTTCGATATATGTATATCGAAGTATACAGAAATGGCGTCGGTAGATATCGACGATAAATTGGAATAGTTTATATTTAACTGTATTCTGATCGCGATTGAATATTTCCGAGTGTTATTTATTTAATTGATTGTTTATATTTCTTTATGAATTGTTGTAATTGCGATTTGCATACATATTTCGATACAAGTTTAAGAAAATGTAGTAACTGCGGAGTTGCTATTCGAGCACAAATAACCAACGAACTTTAATTTTTGCAAATTTCGGAATATTTATAAAAATTATCGGATATTCTCACATTCGATGAAGTAAACATAATCATGCTTACAACTCTAACTATGAAATTTAGTGATATAATATTTATAAATTGAATAATTACTTGTACGTAATTATTTTCGTAGATAATATTTTATCGTTGAAATTCTCATTGATTGAGAATATTTCGCCTTCGTGGCATTGATCTTGTACGGGACAAACTATGTATACAGCAGTGCTAAGTAAAGCAGTATTTCTGTTGACGAACTCTTATAAGAAGATGAAAAAAGAAAACCAGTAGGCTAAGCACAGATGTGCTTGTTGTGTTTCTTATCTCCTGTACCTTTCTTTTCAGCTCTTTTCTTTCCAGGAAATTTGTTGGCCGCGCGCAATGCGGCCGGTAGATTCAGTGATCGTGCGTAGCAACAAGTTTGTTTCTCGGGCCAAAGTGACCCCGAGTACGTTGTCGTTCACGGTGTTAGGCAAACGCGAGAATAGAAGCAGTGTTTTCTACGCAATATTAAATTACTTCCAGAGCATCGTGGCTCTTTCTGTTTTCTGAATCGCGATAATAGAATCATTTGTTCGCCGATTTCAATCTTCGGCCGCGGTAATCTAATTTAATAGTTTCTAATCAAATTAATTATTTTTTCAATTTGAAATTTAAACTCCTCGTTACCGGAATTAGAGTCAGTGCATCACCGAAGAGGACTATTGGGCGATGCTCCACGAGCAAACAATGTAAGTATAAATTTATACTTTGAAATTTTTAATTAAAAATCTCTACAGTTTTGACAATAGATTCTAATTGTTTTCTTACAGTTTTCTTACAGTTTCTGAACATGATCCTGGGAACCAGCAGTAGTACCCGGGGGGTATCGGGCGGTGGACCACGAGCGAACAACGTAAGTATAAATTTATACTTTGAAATTTGTTAATTCAAAATCTCTATAATTTTAACAATAGATTATAATTGCTTTCTTATTCTTTATAGCAGGAGCATGCAGGGGGCTTTGATGACTTCCACTGGGCAGCAGCAGCATTATTATGCAGTCATCCCAGAGGCACAAGTTCATCATTCGTGAGTTGCATGCTATTTGTGTTCCTCTGGTCCCCAACCATGTTGTAGGATGAAAGAAAGATCCGAATCAACACGGGTGACCAGTTGTATACTTGGTATTTTTGACGAGTTAAGTGACCGCGGGTATGAAAAATACCCATGAATTATATTTTTTTAGTGCAGGCTAGGGTCTTCTTGCACTCGCGTTTTTTAATGTTATCAAT